GTGCATCACAGTGGCCCATTGCGATGCCTGTCTATGGTCACATGCACTGGCGTATGAGAGTGCTCTGTGAGCCTCAGTGCCTTCAGTGGCATCATTGCACTGTGACTGTGCACGTCCCAAACAGTAGGAACACAAATGTCCTCAAGCTGCATGTTAGCAGGGCTTCTAAGTCCATCTGCAAGTGATAGCAAGTGGAGCTCAGTTGCACTGAGCACATGTTCCTGGAGAAGATATGGGTCTGTGTCATCCTGCATGGGAATGATCCTAAAACCAAAGTGATCAACGACTGCTCAGGACTGTGGAAAGTTCACTTGGAACCGTGGGAAAAAGTCTGGCAGAGGAATAAGAAGACACAGGTCTTGGAACCAGGCCTGGGACTTCAACCAAGTCATTTAACATCTGGAGCCTTGGTTTATTTATCCTCCTAGCAGATAAAGCAACACCTGCCCTGTCTGCTTAACCTTGGAGAGGTCAGTACAACAATGGCTGTGAAAGCGTTTTGTAAACTGTACTGCAAGCACATGACGGGGGGTGGGGAGTGAGCCGTCCTTTCACTGGCAACTTGAATAAGGGGATAGAGAAAAGGCTCAGAACTTCAGAAAAGGCAAGAGGGACTTGACCCTGGACTGGGAGAGGAAAGCAATGGTGGGATCCATACCTTGAAGGGCCAAGGACCAAGGGGTTAAGGGTCCATGAGGACAGGCTTGGATCATCAGGAAGCTGAGTGAGGTAAGAGTGTGGGTGCTTCAAGGACTGGGTGGACTATAGTCCTATCAAGGCCACAGTAACCCAGGCCTTGGAGATATCACAGAGGGAGGGGCTCCCAGAGCTGAGATAATCTGCAGAAGAGGATTCCCACTGACTGCATTCTGAGGCTGGGTTCAACCTTATACACCACCTTGGATAGACGTTTTCCAGCTCTTCTTTTTTTGGAACAGAGAGAACCTAGGTGACCCTTAAAGTTCCACAGAGCGGAGTTTGCAAATCTCTGGTTCAGCCTCGTTATTTTAATGAGATGAGAATGGAATCCCAGAAAAGAGATGTGATTATCTGAAGGTCACACAGCAAGTTAGTTGCCAAGCTGCAACTGGAACTCAGAATTTCTGGTCCCCGGTTCTGTATCTTAGCCTCCCAAACTGGCTATGTGGACAGAAAAGAACAGAGGCATGGGTGAACTTGAAGGATGTGATTTCATAGGTAAGAAGGTCCCTTAATCTAGCGATGGATTGTCAGCTGCCCAACAATGGCTAAAATCCCTCCTTTAGTGACTCCTTCACAGGATTCCAAGAGTCTCAAGGTTAGAGAAGTCACCTAGTCCACCTCTCCTCTCTGCTTCCCACAAAAGGGCCTGCTGAACATTCTGGTGACAGAGAACTCATCCAACATGTTCTATAGCAGAGGCTCTTCATTAGATCAAGGTGACATCCGTTTTACTGGAGCTTCCAACCACATGTCCCATTACTGCCCTTAGTCACATGCATCCAGATCCTCTTTCTCAGGACAACGTTTTGAGTAAATGAGGACAGCTCCCATTCCCCTTCCCCCAGTTGAAATTCCAGATACATCTCACATTGTTGTTGGCTTTCCACTGTTTTTCCTCTTCACTTCCTGGGTCATCTACACTGTGTGTCCTCCATTTGGTCTCCTCCTGAGAGTAATACTGTGCACAATGTTCCTGGGGGCAGACTTATTAAAGCAAGTGGATCACTTCCTTCATCTTAGGTGTCATACTCCATCAGTGCATCCTTGGATCACAATGATCTTTCTGCACTTCACCCTACAGACTCCCATTTAATGTTACATTGGCTAGGACATTACTCATTTGCACACAGGCTCTGCTGAGCCCTACCTTTGCCAAGACTCTGACTTCCTGTTGTTTTATTTAAAGACATAAGAGCAGGGCCTCACAGTCCTTCCTGAGGAATTTTACTTTGTGGCCAGGCGTGGTGGCTCACACCTGTAATCCTAGAACTTTGGGAGGCCAAAGGCAGGTGGATGACTTGATGTCAGGAGCTTGAGACCAGGCTGGTCAACATGATGAAACCCCATCTCTACTAAAAATACAAAAATTAGCTGGGTGTGGTGTCAAGAACCTATAATCCCAGCTACTTGGGAGGTTGAGGCAGGAGAATCACTTGAGCCTGGGAGGCAGAGGTTGCAGTGATCTGAGATTGTGCCACTGCACTCCAGCCTGGGTGACAGAGTGAGACTCCCTCTCAAAAAACAAACAAACAAACAAAAAACACAAATTTTACTTTGTTACATTCAGTCCACAATTTTTAGCAGCCCAGATCTTTTTGGATCCTGGCTGTATCTCCTTAGTATGTTTCTTCTTCCCCCCAGCTTCCTGACCCCTGCAAATAGGGCTGTAAAGGAACTCTCTGCAGAAAGTCACAGAGGACCCCACTAGGCCAGACTGACTCACCTGCTTGAGAATGCACCAGCCCACTCTTCTACCCCAGGAAGTGTGTAGGGCATAATGATGTGGAACATACTTAATCTCTATTCAGTTATGAAAGCGGGATATTATCAAATTTTAAAAGGCATTGGCCAGGCACCGTGGCACACGCCTGTAATCCCGGGCACTTTGGGAGGCTGAAGTGGGTGGATTGCTTGAGCTTAGGAGTTCAAGACCAGCCTTGGCAACATGACAAAACCCTGTCTCTACAAAACACACAAAAATTAGCTGGGCATGGTGGCACATGCCTGCAGTCTCAGTTTCTCAGGAAGTTGAGGTGGAAGGATCACTTGTGCCCGGGAGGTGGAGGTTGCAGTAAACTGAAATCTCACCACTGCGCTCCAGCCTGGCAGCCTGGGAAACAGAGTGAGACCCTATCTCAAAAATAAATAAAAGTCATTGAGAAAAGAAAGGGAGGATTTTGACAAAGAATTATCAATAGTAACAGTGGTGTCTGTGTAACAGGACTGTAGGTTTGGGTCTTTTTTTTCCTTCATGTTTCTTTACATGCTTCATCCAACCAATGTTTCATGGAGGAGATCTTAGGTGTACGCTTCCAAAATTTCTATGCTGAGTGTGTGTTCTTTGGAAAACTAGAAAAAATAAAGTGAAAAATAAAATGAAAGTGAATAAAGGCTTTTTTCCTAGCTAAATTCTTTGGGAAGCGGCGTCAGGCCCACCCCACACTCCCGACTGTCCCGCCTCCTGCCTGCATTGCCCCTTTCTGTGCCCAAGAAGAGGTGTGCCCGTGGGAAAGAACAGCCAGGACGGCGGGGGCGGAAAGGGGAGCCAGGGACTTGCCTTGAGGCACAGCTGCCTTGAGGTTGGGGTTGTCCCTTTAGGCACCTCCCCCAGGGTTGTTTTCCTCTAAGCCAAGGCGTTTAAGGTAGTTTTCCTGCCAAAAGGTTTTGGAAAATGTGCGAATAGAATTTAAGGGGCCGGGCAGGTGCAGTAGCTCACGCCGGTAATTCTAGCACTTTGGGAGGCCGAGGTGAGTGAATTGCCTGAGCACCGGAGTTTGAGATCAGCCTGGGCAACACAGTGAAACCCCGTCTCTACTAAAATACAAAAAATTAGCCTGGCTTGGCAGCGCGCACCTGGAATCCCAGCTACTCGGGAGGCTGAAGCAGTAGAATTGATTGAACCCTGGGGGCAGATGTTGCAGTGAGTCGAGATTGCACCTCTGTACTCCAGCCTGGGCGACAGAACAAGGCTCGGTCTCAAGACAAAAAAAATAATAATAATTTAAGGGCTGTGGCCCGGGTAGGCGGGCTCAGTATTCAGAAGGGCTTCTAGGTGGTGAGGAAAGAGGCCCAGTCAGGAGAATAATCCACCAGACCCACTTCCAGGGCTTCCAGAGGTCGGACCTGGGAGGCAGCGTTCCCTTTTTCACCCTCCTCTCTGAAGGCCAAAGGAGACTCGGAAACCACTGGGTCCCGCCGTGCTCAGTCTGGCCAGGCACCTGAGTTTACACCGCGGGGCGCACAAAATCCACCCGGGTTTAGGTACAACGCCCTCCCCGGCGTACCCTCCTCCGACCAGCAGAGGGCGCGCACCGCCCGCGAGAAGGAGGTGCAGCTGTGAGTGCCTGCGGGGAGGCTGCGAGCCCCTAGCGCTGGAGCCGGGAGGGAGAGAGACCCCTTCTTCTGCAAAGGAGGAAGCCGAGCCAGAAGAAAGTCGGCGGCAGATGCTGGGGGGAGGGGGCGGTTTGTGCGGGACGAGGAGAGAAAGTCGAAGTGAGAGCAGGATGAGGAGGGGAGGGTGGCTGGGGAAGTGGATGAAATAAAGTGGCTGAGGGAACGTTGAGGTAGGGTGAAGCTGAGCCTGGAGGGGTGAAGGTTGGGATGAGGTGGGGGCGGATGCAATGAGTGAGATGGGGAAGAGGTGTTGTGGGTGACTGTTGGGTTGAGGTGGGGTGAGGGGCGGGGCGGAAGGATGGGTGAGATGGAGGGGATGGGGTACGGGTGCCTATCGGGAAAAGGTAAAGTGAGGGGCTAGTGGGAGGTGGGTGAGATGGGGAGGGTGGGGTAGGGATGGGGTGTCTATCGAGATAAGGTGGGGTGAGGGACGAGTGGAAGGGTGAGTGAGATGGGGAGGGTGGGATGAGGTGTCTGTTGGGATAGGGTAGGGTGAGGGGTGGGTGGAAAGGTGGGTGAGATGGGGAGGTGGAAGGGGTTGGGGTGGAGTGTCTGTTGGGATGGTGGGGTGAGGGGAAGATGGAAGGGTGACTGAAATGGGGAGGGTGGGGTGCGGTGTCTGCTGAGATGGAAGTAGGGGTAGGGTGGGGTGCCCGGCAATTGAAAGACAGAGTGAGGTGAGCTGAGGCCGCCTGGCAGGGTGGGTGTGAGGCAAGGCAGCTCCCTCAGGCTGAACCCACCCTCCAGGCCGCTCATTCCCGGCAGGCGGCGCCCAAGCCTGAGCCACCCTCCTTCTCGGGATCTCTTTCTTGGCAGGTCTCTGCTCTGGCCCCAGATGAGCCTCTCCCTGCTTTTCCCTATCCACGGGTTCTGGTGCAGCAAAGAACAGAGAGAGGAGGCAGCGGGGCGCTCAGGAGCTTTAATGGGGCTGGAAGGGTCGGAAACACACTGGGCCTCCTGTGAGAGTGGGGACAGGAGGAAGGGGACCATGTGTCCTGGGGATGGTGGCTCTCACCAAACCTGCTCAAGTCCCAGGAATGAGGACCGTGACAGGCCTCCACGTGCTGGGGTGGGACCAGTTCAGTAGGGGAGAGCAAAAGTGGGAAAATATTTGGCACTGGATAAAAAGAAGTGATATTGAATGGGGCTTCTAAGAGCCAGGCGGAAATGCACTGGAGTGGTGGGGAGAACGAACTCGATCCCGGACCTGGAGACCGAAAAGAAAAAAAAGTCAAGCAGGGCGCACATGGCCCTCCTCAGGGGATTGTGGGGTGGGACAGGGGCAAATCTAGTGCCAGAGGAGGATTGAGGGGACTCTGTCTGGTCCCCGGTGCTGGGTGCGGCAGGTGGAGTAAACTCTGGGTTAGAGGACGGTTGGCTGAGGCTCCGGGGCCCCTCCTCGGGATGCGGATGGGATCGGGCGAGACTCTAGGCGTGCGGGCGAGGCCGCAGTCACCGGATCGCCCCGTCTAGTGGTAATGGCCCCCTAAGTGCGAGGCTGCAGCCACGGCCCCGAAGGGCCCGGGCGGGGGCTGCAAGCTGGGGCTGGGGTAGAGCGCGGCGGTGGCGGCAGCGGTGGCGGCTGGGCCCGGGCCCGGCCAGTAGGAGAAGCCAGCGGGCGCGACTCCGGCCGAGGCAGCCATGAGGTTGAGTTTGGAGAGGCCGGGGAAGGGCAGCGGGGCGAGGCCGGCGGGTAGCTTGTAGAGTGCCCCGTCCTGGGCGGCGGCGGCGGCGGCGGCGGCTGCAGCGGCGGCGTGGGCGTGCGCGGGCGGCGGCTGGCAGGCCTGTGCCAGGCCCTGGAAGTCGAAGCGGTAGGCGTAGCGCTTGCCGTGCACCTTGCTCATGATGTTCTTGTCGTAGTAGTAGCGCAGGGCGCGGCTCAGCTTGTCGTAGTTCATGTTGGGCTTACTCTTGCGCTCGCCCCATCGCCGCGCCACCTCGTCCGGGTCCGTGAGCTTGAACTCACCGTGGCCGCCCTCCCACGCGATGCAGCCGGCGTTCGCGCGGTCAGCCAGCAGCTCCAGCAGAAACTGCCACAGCTGGATCTGTCCGCTGCCTGTGGGGAGGGGGGCGGTCAGCCAGAGGCCGGAGCCGGGAGGTGGAAACTGGGGGAGAGTGCAGGCGGGAAACCGACCCACCCGGGGAGGAACCTGCCCTGGGGGAAAAAAGGGCACGTCCAGCTGTGAGCTGCTAGCGGGAGTAGCCGACCCGGGAGGGGCTGATCCGCAGAGTGGTCTTTAGCCTTTAAGGCGCTTTTGCACAATGGAAATGCGGCTTCCACCGAAGAGCACTTAGATTTCCTGATGCAAGGTTTTGTGGAACTTCGGGGGAGAAGGGGAAACATCGCCTCCCCTAGGTGGAAGCAGCCAGGGCACCAAGGCACTCGGCTTTCCAAAGCGAGGAAGATCAGATAACCGCCGCCACTCACCATCTCAGCCGGGCGCCCTTATTCATGGAAAAGCCCGCACAACTGTGCAGGGCGACCTTGGGCAGGTGGTTGTACTGCCACATCCCAGCTGGACCACCTCCAGAGATGGGAAGGGACAGACGTGCAGCGGGAGGACCCCAACCACTGCTGGACAAGATCCAGCCAGGCCCTGGTCCCCAAAGACATAGCTGGACAGGGTACTCCCAAGGTGGAGTGGTGGCTGGCTTCCTTGCGACACCGCATCGGACAGGAGTAGGAATAGTGGCCCTCTATACATGACAGGAGGGACAAGCTCTCAGAGGCTCCCTGTCCTAGCCACCCTCAGGTGCGCAGTCTCTGCGCCGGTCCTGAGAGTTTGGCCTCTTTTTTCGGAACAGGAGGGATTCCCTGTCCAGTATGATGCCATAGTTCTTGGGGGCCTGATGAACACCTCTGGGGAGGGGAACCGGACCCAGCAGCTGTTACGTTGGGCTACCGACCTCCTCCTGTCTTTGTGCATCTCCCTCCTTGCTGGAGGCAGCAAGGGGGTTTTTCCAGGATATGCGAGTGGTGAGAGAGTGGGGTCCCAGAATTCCTGCTCCTCTGTCTTGGAGCCTCAAGTAGACAGGCAGAGAAAAATCCTGATACAATCCCCCCCACTCCCTTTTAGAATAAAACGGATTTTCCTCGAAGTGGTCTGTTTACTGCCTCAAATAGAATCTAGTGAACCCCTCTTCCTTTTTCAGCCACTGGCTTAGAAACCAGACGCTGCCCTCCCCCAAAATTTAAATCCCAATCCTTTCAAGCCAGCCCAGCAAAGAGCCTCCTGGCTCCTGGCCCCAACGTTAAGTTTTAAGGTCAGAAGCAAGGGAAGGTTTTGGTACAAAGGTACACCTGGCACCAACAGCGGAGCAACCTCAGCTGCTTGGATGCGTGTTCCTGTTGGGCATCATTTCCTTCTGGGTAAAACAGTTGCCAACCTCGTTTGTGGTTCCTGTCTCTTGGTGAGATCTAGGGTAACGACTGGGATGGGAACTGGGGGAGACACTGCCGTCGAAAGGGTAATTTAGCGACTACCAGTGGAGCGTTGGTGGTGAACCTGGAAATCCATTGCTATCATCTGGCAGACTTGGCTGGCAAAGATCAGCCAGTGTGGGTCAGCGCGGGAGGGTGAGGCAGGCGGCAGTGGTCAGGGTCTAGTGATTGGCAAGCCCACCGTGTTTGGGGAGTAATTCCCCCGGTTTCATTGCCGGCTGGTGCTGTGGCCTTGAACTCCTACTACCAGCAGGGAAAAAACGCTAAGTGTCCCAGTCGCAGCCCCAAAGCCTGGAAAATCGTACACAACAGCAAAGGGGCCTGGACTGGGATCCTCTCCATCTGCCTTGCCCTGCAAGTCTTTTCCTGGTGCTCAGAAGATGCAGGAGCCAAAAACCATGTGAATGTCTTCCCAAGGCCTCCCCACAACCAGGCCAGGACTCCCAGAACCCTGGGTACACACTACTCCCACCTTCTGTCTGCCTGTGCCCTGACCCCAACTGCCCGCGTCTCCGCAGCCCAGAGGGCCAGCAAGCTCACCTTTCTGAACCGCGGGGCTCAGCGGCCCCCAGCTCGGGTTCTTCCCTTCCTTGAAGAGACCGTCTCCGACGGTATCTGCAGCAGCAGAATAAAAGAATCAGGCGAACCCCGGGCGGAAGTTGTGGGCTTGACAAAAGGGCCCCGGGCCAAGGCTCAAGGGGGGTGCCGTGGTTCCCAGGCGCGAGGCTGGGGGCCCGGGCCACCCGGCTCCTCCTCCCGGAGCCTGGTCCAGGCGCGCCGCGCGGAGCCCCTCCGTAGAGCCCAAGTCAGGAAACGCGTCCAGGAAAAAGGAAATCCGCTTTCCGAAGGGGCCGGTTGGAGCCTTATAAAGCCGAGCGGGGAACTGCTCCAGCCGAGCCGGAGCGCGGGGAGTCCATCCGAGAGAAGAGGAGGGCACCTGGAGGGCCGGGCCCGAACGCTCGTAGCAGGAAGGTGAGGAGCCATGAGGGCGCAGGGGCGTCGCCCGCGGGCCACAACCTCCCGGTACGGCTCGGCCACAGAGTCCTCCACCATGCCAGAGACCTCTGCTTCCCCTCTTAGGCTCTTGCAGGTCCCTGAGTCCCGGCTGTCGGCCCCCAGGCTCCCATTCTGCTCATTTCGACTCCTCTAGACCCTGCACTGAAACCCCAGAGCTCCACTTGCCTTTAGGTCCCCCCAGTGCCCTAAATTACAATCGGCCCTCCCTGCAACCCGAATCTCCGGACACCTTCCCTTCTCCTGGACCCCAGCACTCTCTTCCCGAGCCTGAACCTAGACTTCCCGCCCCAGGTTCCGGTGCCACTAGCCCCCGGCTGCTCCCTGGTACCTGGCAGGTACATGTTGATCAGCAGGGGCTGGGAGGCGCCGCTCTGTCTCATCGCAGCCGGGGACTGGGCGGTGGGAGATGGGGGGGACGGGGAAGGGGGGCGAGGCAGGCTTTGCGCTCCGGGGCACCGATCCCCTCCCGAAGCGACCGCGGGTGACAAGGAGGAGAAGACAGCGCCGGGTCCGGCAAGGCCTGGCGGGAGGGGGCAGCCAGGGCGTGGCGGGGGGGGGCAACGGGGGGGACAACTGGGGGAGGTCCTGGAGCAACACTCCCAGCTACGGGACCGCTTGGAACCCTCCGGCCTCCGCGCGGCCAGGGGCCGCAATTTCCGTTTTAATTAAAGCGCGGCCGCCTCGGCCCCCAGGACCCCGCCCCCGCCCCTCTTATCGTCCCATCGCAATAAAGTCTCCAACGCGCCGCGCCACAGCCAAGCGCACCCGGCAGCCCCCCCGCGCCCCGCAGCTGGGGAGACGCGCGGGGGATGGGCCCGGGCCAACCGCTCTGATGGGGGCCGGGAGCTCGTGTCTTTCCGCCTCCCTGACTCTCTGCAAACAGTGATGGGGGTGGTGTACCCGGCCACACCTCGGACCCTAGCGGCCATAGCCCCCTCCCCAGTGCCCTTCTTCCAGTCGACTCCCGCTCCTCTCGCCGCTCACTCTCCTCCCCCTACTTCTATCCCCACCCGGGTTCCCGTCTCCAGGCTGCGTTATCTGCATCTTCACTTTTAAATTTCCGCTTCCCTCCCTCTCGCCTGTCGCTGAGCTCCCGGCCCTGCAGCCGCTGCTCCCTTTATCTCTGCCCCCACCCTGGCTCCCTCCTCCTCTTCTCCCACTCTCTGCTCTTCCCTAGAGACCCGAACCCCTTCCCTGTCTCCCTCTTACTTTGGCACCTTTCTTGCCTTTCTGGGGCCCCTAAGCCTCAGGCTTGGTGCTGGGCCATCTCTCTTGGCACCTTATGCTGGGCAGCCCCCTCCTCGGTCCTCCCCACCCCCTTTCTAGGTCTCTCTTTCCCCTCTATTCTAGGCTGCTTTTCTCTCCCACTCCCATCTCCCCTCCAGCCGTCTCTCCATCTCATCCCTCTCCCTCCCTTCCTTTTCTTTTTCATCCAGTCCCCACAAATTAGTAGTGGCCTGGACTGCTGAAGGCCTCTATAGATGTTGAGAGTCTGTCTTGGCTTCTCCTGATGAGTTCCTGAGCCCCCTGCTACTTCCCTGTACAATCGTTTCTCTCTCATTCTTCCCCATCCCCTGTCCTCCCAGTCGGCCACCCACCCTCACCACAACTCCCATTCTGGGCACCCCAGAATCAGGCTGGAGAGGTGGAGGGATTAAGGCAGAGCTGTGCATTGTGCAAGGCTGAAATCCACTCCAAGAAAGGGATTCCTATTTCCAACTCATTCAAAGATGTTGATGTGGCTCCCATGTGGCCTAGAGTCTCTCTGGGTACCTATGGGTCATCCTGGCTCCGGAGAGGCAGGCTAAGTAGGGATGCTGGCTGCAGATGAGGCTCCAGCCCAGAAGCCCACCTTCTGAGCCTTGCAATATGGAATGGCTACTGTCAAAACTGGGATTCTCAAAGTCCTTCTCTCTCACTACTTGAGCCCAGGGGTGAAGGAGGCCTGGGAATGGCCAGGATTCCTACTAAGTACCTGGTCTTGGGGTGCCTGATTGAGGATGTATGGAAAGACGCCTGGGGTTCTGCAGGCCCCTGTCCACTCTCATTTGCCGTAGCTGGAGTGTTCATCTTTGCTGGAGTGTTCATTTCTGCTGGTGGAGGGTGCAAAGGAGCCAGGGAGAAGTGTGGGAGACAGTGTGGAGGGAAAATGAAGGATTCTAGGACCTCAGAGGATCCTAGTGGGACAAAAAAAAAAAAAAAAAAGCCTTCAGGATGTGGACCTGGAATCTGGTAGGAGCAAAGACTAGAAGTTAGAATGTTTCCTGTGGACCAAACTCAGGGCTCCAAAGAAGGGGAGGGCCTTGAAGGTGGGGTCAAGATCCCAATCCTTCTTCTCATTCCTCTTACTGCTTCCCCCACCCACTGTGGACAGAAAACAAGGAGCAGGAGGTAAGCACAGAAAATAGCAGGGGGCAGGAAGTAAGAGCTGGGGGAGCTGGGAGGCATCAGAATTCGCCCACTTAATGCTCTCAGTGGGAAGCTGAGGTGTAAGGAAGAGGCTCCTAGAGAGGAGGTCCCGAATATCCCAGCTCTGAACTGGGCAAGGATCAACAGTACAGGCTTTATGCCCCAGCCTTACCAAGAAGCCAGTTGCTGAAGGGGTGGGGCACCAGGAAAACTGTGCATGGGGGGAAGTTCCCTCTACCCCCCCCCACCCCCCCACGGTACCCATCTTGATCTCCATCCCCTCCTGCTGCAAGTGCAGCCAGGAAAGCCAACAGCAGCGTGCTGGGCAGTTTCCCCTTCATCCCCTTTCCGCCCTGCTGGGAGTTGGTCCCAAGTGGTTCTGCAGGTGGTCAGCCTGCTCAGAACGAACAAAGGACTGGAAGGTGAAAGCATTAGAGTTTACACTGTCCTCTGTGACCCCCACTTCTTAGCTGCAGACTGATATAGGGAGCAGAACATGAGCCCTGGGTCCAGAAAAACCTAGAAGGTCCAGGGTGGCAAAAGCTGCAGCAGATATGAGCTCCCCTGACTTCTGCATTGCACAGACGGGGAAACAGAGACCCAGAGACCTGTGCCGGGTTCAGAGTCACACTTCTCATTCCTGAAGCCATCTTGCTGATTCTTCCCAGCAACCACAGGTCCCCCATAAGGAGGTCAGCTCAGTCAAGGGCAGATTCCAGATCTCCCTTTGCTCATTGCCTGCTCCCCAAAGCAATCGGTGGGGAAATGGGCTGCTGGGCACTGGAGCCAGTTTGTTTGGTTCTAGGTTCAACTCCTAACTCCCCCATTTCCTGGTTTTGTGCCTTTGGGGGAACATAACCTCTGTACTATACTTGGGTCTCCTCATTTGTAAAATGGGTATGGACTGGGCACGGTGGCTCACGCCTATAATCTCAGCACTTTGGGAGGCTGAGGTGGGCAGATCAAGACCACCTGAGGTCAGCAATTCAAGACCAGCCTGGCCAACATGGTGAAACCCCATTTGTACAAAAATACAAAAATTAGCCGGGCATGATGTTGGGTGCCTGTAATCCCAGCTACTTGGGAGGCTGAGGCAGGAGAATTGCTTGAACCCAGGAGGTGGAGGTTGCAATGAGCCAGTATCGTGACATTGTGCTCCAGCCTGGGCAACAGAGTGAGGCTCCGTCTCAAAATAAAAATAAAATAAAATAAAATAAAATGGGTATGATAGTACCTGCCAAGCAGAATGATGAGTTTTATATGAGATAACGCATGTGAAGTGCTTAGAACAGATTCTATACATGCACCCATTGTAAATATAGCCATTCCACAGGGGGATGGGGAGGTGCCCGTGACCAGGAATCCCAGATTCTTCTGGGGCCCACAGAAGTTTGGGTCTATGCTGGGGCCTGAGGCTTTTGGCCACAGCTCAATTCAGCCTCCACCTAACAGCCTGGATTTAGGGCCAGGAGCCCTGTGTTCAAATCCTGGCTTTGTCACCAATTAATTGGGTTATATCATCAAAACTACTCCTTGGACCCCCAGTTTGGTAAAAATAGATGAAATTGGAGAGTATTAGGAGGATTGAATGCAACAAGGACCATGGACTCTGGGGCCCATTCAAGTGTAAGGCAAAATTTGTATCTCACCCACAGCTCTCTCCCTTGGTCCTCCAACCCAACCCTAGGATCCATAGGTGGAGGACGTAGGGGAAGGAGGCCCCTACACTGACTACCCCAATACTTTTCCATAACACCATAAGCATTTGCAGGGGTTTCTCATGGAATCTTCCCAACAGCCCCTGTGAGACAGGCAGGACAGGGGTCAATAGCGCCAGCTTACAAGGTGAGGGAATTGGGTCCCAGGAGTTCTGACTTATGGTGCACAGCTCTTCCCAAAGGAGCAGCCTGACTTTGCACAGCTGAACCTCTGGGGACTTCAGGCCCAAGTCTGACTGCCCCCTGGCATTGACCTGCCCTGCCTGGCCTGGAGCAATAATCAGAGCCACCCTTCCCCACTGATAGATCCACTGGGGACTTGAAAACACAAGAATCTGGCTGGGCATGGTGGCTCACACCTGTAATCCCAGCACTTTACGAGGCCAAGGCTGGGGGATCACGAGGTCAGGTGTTCAAGACCAGTCTGGCCAACATAGTGAAATCCCGTCTCTACTAAAAACACAAAAAAATTACCCAGGTGTGGTGGTGTGTGCCTGTAATCCCAGCTACTTGGGAGGATGAGGCAAGAGAATCACTTGAACCTGGGAAGCGGAGGTTACAGTGAACCGAGATCATGCCATTGCACTCCAGCCTGGGCAACAGTGCGAGACTCTGTTGAAAGAAAGAAAGAAAAAAGAAAGAAAGAGAGAGAGAGAGAAGGAGGGAGGGAGGGAGGGAGGGAGGAAGGAAGGGAGGGAGGGAGAGAGGGAGGAAGGAAGGAAGGAAGGAAGAAACACAAGAATCCCCACAGGATAGGATGAGGTGAGTCCCAAGAATCTTAAGAGGTTCTGCCTGTGTGGGGGTCGGGGGAGGGGCATCACTAACTGTACCAAAGAGGGAACTGGTAGAAAACTCACACTAGTGCCAGGGGCTCTAATGGCTGCGGCCATACTCAGCCCTGCCATGCCTGTGGGTGCCTGCCACTTGCCCCCAACCCAGGCTTACTGTGTCAGCCACTGAGGGGTGGCTTCTACAGCTCACCAGTCCTCTGAAGGGTAGGGAGGGAACGGAAGACTGAAGAGGGGGTGGTGTGAAGCGCTGAGAGGGGGGATATGAAGAGGCTTTGTAAATGCTGGAGTTCAATACCACTGCAAGGGACTGTCATTGTTCAAAGGGTCTGGGGGCTGGGCTCAGAGGGTGGAAGTCTCCCTTTTGAAGGCACTGAGAGGCAGTGGGATTTCCCACTACCACCCCTCCTACGGATGGAGGAAAGGGGACAAATGCAGGAGGCTCAGGCTTCCCTGGCTGGGCAGTGAGCTGGGTGAAGGTAAAGGCTGAAAATGCTCTGGGGTTACAGAGGAAGCCCAGGCCTTCCGCGTATGGTAAGGAAGTTCTGCCCTGCATCTTGGTGCCTGGGCCAGGGGTGTGTAGAAGCTGCAATCCAGCTATGAGCCCTGATGTGGGGGTGTGCCCGCCCTACCTGCAGGATGGCAGAGGTGCCATCTGAGCTAGCAGAACCCCTGGCTCATACATAGTGGTGGACCTTACCAAGGAGAGGTTTGGGACTGGTGACATTTAACAGAATTGCTAAGATTCTTACCAGCCCTTTGCTGTCAGCCCCACCAGAGCCTACCCACACACAACCTCAGCCAGCTGATGCTCAGTAGCCAAGGTCCTGGAGCCTGTGGGGGGAGGTCAGCTTGGCAGGGAGGGACCCTCAGAAAGATGAGGATGGAGATCACAAAGTAAGACACCAAGGAGGCCAGAGGGGCAGGAAGATTCAGGAACCTTTATTGAGGGTCCTCAGGGAAGGTGTCTGGGGCCGAGGAGCCTAGTGCTGGACTCTCCGGATGGACTGCAGCTGCCCGGTGTGGGCCTGTGTGCCGAACTCACTGTAGGTATGGAACTCGCCG